CCCAGGCCTCTGGTAGAGGACCCGAGATTGAGGAAGACAAATACCACCCATAGGGGTGAGAGGGGATTTTTTTTTTATTTAACACTATAGCTATACACATACTTACCAGGGATAACTGGCATGCTTATTGAACAGAGTGACTTCCTTCCACTTATATATTATGCTATTAATTTTTAAATAATATTATTTTTAATAATAATTGCACTTACCTCCAATTCTGGCATTAAATGCAATTCCTACTATACAGTGTGAGTTATTTGCTGTAGCTGCCACTTCTCCAGCACAACGTGTTCCATGCCTATGGGAAGAAGAAATATCTTAAATTAAGTAACATTACTGCCAACAGAAGTATTTTTAATAGTCAACAGGCAAATATGAAACAAGCTGGTTTATACTGTGAAATTATTTGTACTGTGGGGATGAAGTAATTCACTTTGATGAAGCAAAGAAGTGATCCAGTTTGCCTCACTGAAACAATTTCAGTGTTCTCCAGCCTAACATCTTCAGGCCAGGGCATTCCAAGGCTGGCCTGGGTCTGGGTCAAAGCGTGGAAGCACTTTATCATTCACTGAAGAAGGTTCCTCTCACCTTTCTTTCATAGAGTGAGCTATGCAGGAGAAGCCTGGCAGGGGCTCTGAAGCCTAGTGAGGTGAGATGTGGCCACTTTACTTTGCACTTAGAATTCCTTTTTTCTCAAGGACTTCCTTAGAAAGAAGTCTTGGTTTCTTCAGGAATCAAGACAAGACTAATGGTCAAATTTTACTGCAGGCAGATTGATGCCAAATAAGACAACTGAACAATACTGATTTATAGAGAAGCATCTTAATATATAAAAGGACTCAGAGTGCTTTCTTCTGTTTCCCAGAGCATTCTCTGGCCAATCCAAAGCTGACTTTCTGTTTCTTACCCTGCCCTGCCCGTCCCCCCCCCACCAGAAGGCTGTAATGTCTTTGCGTTATCTTCCCACAATAGTAGACAAGTTCTTCTCTTTGACCTGAGACATCTCCTTTCCCTTTTACAGAGGCTGTGCTTCTAAAGTTCATTGAAACAAAGAATTACTTCAAAGCTTTGCACAGCCCTAATTTTTTTTTTTCCAATTTATATAGCTGCCCATCTCACCACAGGCAACTCTGGGCAGTGTACAACATTTTAGGCTATTAATGCTTAGATTTTGTCATATTTTTTTAAAAGTATTATTTAAGCATTTTACACACTTAACAGTTAGGTATATATATGAAGCTTTATGCTCAGAATTTATTTCAACTATTTCTTTGTCATAAATTCTTATCTTCCCACTGAAGACAACTTTATGATTGCAATTATGACTATATTTTTAATCAATAAATGTTTATTCAAATGTAGCAGAAACACAGCATGATATAAGAACACAGGGAATTGATGAGATAAAAAACCATTATCAGGCAGTTTAGGAAATTGCTTTTATGCAGGTCAGGTGGTAATTAAGCTCATAGACATTCTGTAAAAAAATGCTTTAGTTTATAATACAAGATTGTACAATGGTTTTAATCTCTATCACCCATGAAGAGTATTGTGGTGGCTGGAAAGGAACTAAGAGGCACAGCTTCCTGACTATGTGATCTACTTCAGCTTTAATATTTTTTTAAGCTAAACTTTGTACAAGCATAATACCCATAGATTTAGAATTGTACAGAGACCACAAAGCACTGTGCAGACTGGCCCAGTTATGGCTGGTGGGCAATATTATAACAGTATAGTTATCCAGTAACTATCTCCTCTATGCACATCTCTTTCATTTGAACTTTTAGTAACTCAGACCTGGAGAATCATATATGCCATTCCTGTCTCTTCTCTATTTGATGTTGGATTCTGGTTAAAATCTTGAATGTTACAGTAGGAATTTATGTCTTAAAATATATATTAGTGTGATATATTTGTTTTGCTCTCTTACTTTTTCTCCCTTTTATTTATTATTAACAGATAAACATAATCGGAAGAAATAGCAGAAGTGTACTGAAGTACAATGATGGTACTAAAAAAAAGGATTTGAAAAATATAGGGAGTATACAAGATTTGCATACTTTCCTCATAAAATCAGTTATATCAATTTTGTAGTTGTGCCTCAACACTCAGTTAAAATTAATGTAATATACAGTCATAAATCTATATTAATGTAACCAAATAGTAAACAAAATCAGTTTTCTATATGAAACAAATTATGTAGAATTAATCAATGCAGTCTTTTTGTAGTAATGAAATTTTGTGCACTTCAAAGTGTAATCAAAACTTTGAGCCTGTAAGTGCAATGTACACACTTCTATACTAAAACAAGCTGGAGAACTCAAATCTCAAAGGATATCAAAAGGATATATATATGCAGGAATGTGTAATATCCAATGTGTTTCTGAATTATCTTATTCATAAGGGACAATTTTTACAAAGTAATTACCCCTTTTGCTTGTTTACATATTGTATGAATTTAGGAGAAAGTATTCCACAAAAATTAAAGTATCAATAAACTAATTCATGCAATATTGGGAAACAATCTTACAAAATATATGCTTATTAGGAAAACACATATATTAATAAAAATATGTTTGAATGTTGTGTAGGCTTCTTTTAAAGAATTGCAAGTATTCTGAAAGAGGATAATATATAATAAAAATATGAGAAATTGATTAAAATCAAGTCTCTCAGATGTGTTCATCCATAATTTAGAACATAATAATAGCATTCTTAATGGAGTACTCTAATCTGTTTTCAATACATACACAAACACGCACACACTTATAATTTCCTCACAGGATATTATTGTTGTTTCAAAGCTGCTCACTATATTCTATCCCTCGTTCTTCACTGAGGTTTATACTGAATATCCCTTCTTCCTCCACAATCTTTCCTCAATTTCAGTTCTACAGCTCTTGATGTCTGACACTCCAGTGTCTTTTGAAAGTTGTTTTTTTTTTTTAGAAGCACAGCTTTACTCAATTTCTGTCTGTCCCTGAAATTTGCTAGTGAGTTTAAGCCCCTTCAACATACAGGAAACTTCATCTGAGGAATAAGAAATGAAAAAGCTGAAGAGTAAAAAGGGATGTAGTGATGAATGATTAGACTGTAGAGGCAAATATTTCCTATTAGATTAACCAGAAAACTAGTGATCTTGTTGGCAACATGAATAAAGCTCATAATAATATTATAAATAAACTTAGTCCATAGCAAAGATCAATGTTCTCTTATGCTGATGTTATTATTTTTCAAGCGCTTTCTGCAATAAAGGTATTCCCACATAATACGCTAAACAAAACACGAAAATGTGATGCTTCCTATGCTGTGGAATAAAAGAATGCTGGCAAAACTAAGTTACAAATGTTCATGTTATTAGCCATCTACCCCAAGTACGTCAGCAATGTTTGTGCAGCTGTGTTGAAAGAATTTCAAGGGATTATATGTTATTTTCTTCTGTCCTCTCTGCTCATCTACTGCATCCACCTGCTGCTTTGGATGATAACTTCCTTGGAAGTAGCAACAACACACACAATAAAAAGAACATGGCTTTATTTACAATTTATGAAAACTATGCTGCCATAGTTCTTAATAATACACCTAGTAATAAAGATGTTTCAAACAAGATAGAAAGGAAAAGAATGGGCAGGCATGTCCAAAGTAGAAGTGTTGCTAATGATGAACAGATAAAAACTTTCTGTCCTTGGATATTAGTATTTTAAAGTTGCTAAACATTCCTTTTCCTAATCTTAATCCGGTGTTCATGATGAATTCTGGTTACATTTCCTTTGCTGTATATAAGAAGGCAGAGAAAGTGTTTTATTTACAAATATAAACAGACTGAACAAGTTTAGTTATGGGGAATCAGAAAAAAATACAGATGTTTTTCTAAAATTGCATAATGAATAAACAGACACCCCAAACTGTTGTTTTTACCTATACTTTTCCACATTCAGTAGTAAAAAAGCAATGTTAGCCTCCTGCAGGCCACTTTGTGGAAGCAGTTAAGTACACATTAATATCCACTGTCATTAATGCGTAAAATAAAGAAAGTGGAGCTATGGGTAGCTTCACATTATGCTCCCACACAGCTGATCATTGTTGTTGTTATTTAATTGGCAAGAATAATGTAACAACTGCTAAGGCTTTGAGTGAATTAAAGTTCAAATTCTATGCAGTAAGAAAAAAGAAAACAGGATCCAACTAAATTGCACGCATATAACTTTTTCCCAATGCTTCCTCAAAAGAAGAAAAAATAAATAAAAATCCTCTGTTGCAGTCATCTGTATGTGTGAAAAGAGATCTTTCTCATCTCTAGAACTGACCCTCATATTTTTAAAATAGTTTTATTAGTTCCAAGATTAAGAGTTTCTGGTATTTTGTTACAACGTGAAAGACTAAAGTATAGTGGAAATGCTCTTTTTCCAAATTCTGAAAATCACATTTATCGAGACACATTAATAGTACTAAAAGACTTTGTTCCAGGACATCTGGAGCTGTATTGCTTTATGTGGTGTGCACATATTGCACGTCGTTGCAGATTTCATTTCTTTTTCTAATAGAGTTTGAGAGTTTTAATGGCTGTTACTTTGGATGAAAAATGAATCTATTCAAATTATGGGAGCAGATTTGATCTACCTCAATTAAAAGAATGCATTATATTAAATGATGTTTTTTAAAAAAGCCTAACAATCAACTGTGAGCTCCCAGATACACAGAATGTAATAGAAGAGAATATATGTAGCTCAGGGTTGAACTGTAGGAGCCATGGTGCTCTCTGAGCTTGGTTGGACTCCATACACCAAATGTTCAGGACAGAACTTGGAATAAATAAATTGAAATTAGATTCATAAGTAAAACTAGGAGATGATTTATAAAGTGAAAACATGCAACTCTTCTCCAACTATTGTTCAAGTAATAATACTGAAATAATAAAACAATATGTGAGCTTAGACCTACCCAATCCCAAGTATGAATGAAAATTTCCTTGCTGGTTTCCTGGAAAGAATGCATGTTAATCTAATACAAAACAGCAAGTAGCTACACCTCTTTTTCTCAGAAAAATTAAAAATAAATTGAATCTATATCTGATGGTTAAATGTGTATTCTGTCATCCTGAGACTTTATTTCTGAAAAGAGAGGGAAAAAATATTCAAGCAAAGCTCAAATTCTAGTGATTTCACAGAAATGCTCACATCATTCTTCTGCTAGTAATACAGATGTGACTTGCCACCGCCTCCTTTCACAGTGTTTTTTTTTTCCCTCCAGTTTCCTGGTCTAGCCTATAACCCTGGTATTCCCTGGTGGTCTCTCATCTAACTACTAAACAGCTGAAATTTGATTAATAAGGTTGGTAAAGTGCAGTCACTTACTGAGATTTTAAAGAGAAATTAGATGTCTGATTAGAAATTAGATCTGCTTAATGAAAGGCACAAGACAAAATAGATGTATATATTTCCTGAAATTTTTTTCTAGATTGTAATTTTAACATTTTAAATTGCATATTTAATTCTTCTGACTAATAATATAATCTGTATATAATTCTTCCAAAAGATTAACTATCCAGCCACTTAACTGCTAACTCGTTACTTAGTTTTCTCTCAATGCTACTGTCTTATGTGAGGGTAGAAAGACATTTATATATTACTAAATATATTTAGTCAAACTAAAGAACTGGTTATTCATCTACAGCTTTAGCTATTTAATATATAGATTAAAATTATTAAAACTGAATAAGAGTCAATAAGATTCAATGTACACAATGAATCTTACCTCAGAGTGGACTTTCATAGGATTACAGTATAAAGCAAATTATGAGATGATTTATTTAATCTTCTAAACAATTACTACTTCCTGCTGTTGACTATGAATCTGGGTGGAATATCAGGAGACCAGTAAAGAGGGGGAATTCTGAGAAACAGGCAAGTAGGGTGAAGCAGAAGTTTCTAGCCATTGTTTTTGCAACGATCCTTTTAAAGAGCAGCTGAGCTGAAGATTAGTCAGCGTTGGTTGCAAAGATGTATGCAAGCCACTTGGGACTGTGTGGACATAGGAGCGTGACACTGGTTTCAGCTCAGTGAAGTCTTTGCATATGAGGGTTTGCATAAGCTGATTTGAAGAAAATGGACCATCAGACAAGGAACCAGTCAGCAACCAGCTTTCTTGGACTCCTATGACCAAGATCTCAGCCCATTTCAGCCGCCTGTGAGCTGCCAAGCAGTATGCCACAAAACAACTCAAGCTGCCTCTGAAGATGCTAGCCACAGTTGCTGGCAAACAAGGAAAACTAGACCATGGCCATCCAGCCTGAAAGCTGATCACTGCTTCAAGCAGAAATGATTGGAGATAGGGAGTCCCACAAGTATCCTAGCCCTATGCCAAGTACAGCTGTATAGGTGGTAATCAGCACCTTGGACTGCACCCAGAACCTATAATATAATAACTATAATATAATGTAAAATATATTGTAACTATATATTCCAAATAATGAAGCAGTAATGTAAATATTCTTAAAATTGAATCCCTGCAGGATAATCATTTGCTTGTTCCAAATGTAATCAATAATAACAATATATGCCAAATCGCCACAGTACATTAAATGGTAACTGTTTAATCTTTTCATGTATCCACCGAATCTGACATGTGTTCATTATCAAAATGAGCCTTTGGTTGGGATATTTGAAGAGTGAGGACATACTTTTGATACTGATGCCTGGCAACCTGTCAGGGACCAGGACTGTGATACAGGTAACTCAAAAGTACCAGAAATCACACTAGATATTAATCTTACAGAATTATCTACAGAATATGATAATTTTCCAGACAAAGTTACAGCCATTATAGGCTGCCTATATGTACGTATGTGATTTATATCCCACCTCTCGTTAAGGAGTGCAAAGTGACATAAATAGTGTTCCCCCTTCCTACTTTTGCCACAAAAGCCCTGTGAAGTAGATTGGGCTGAAAGTGATAGAGATTTAATGTGGGTTTCCCCAGTGCCAGTCCAACACTGTTTTTAGTTGTTTCCATTCATCATAACAGGAAGCTATGAACAACTTGCTACTTAATATTACAAAGATGGAATTTGGAGAAAGAAGGAACAGTGCACAATTTAAGTCAGGTATATCACCACACACATTAACTTAGCTAAACTGAGGTAATACAAACATACACATATTGGGCATCTATCAATATTTTGATGAGTTATGGTCCAAGTCCTAAAACTTCTGACATACGCTTATGAGAATATGTGAAAGCAGCTAGGCGAGCACAAAATCCTAAATGATAATATTATTCTGGCTCTTCAGAGCTATCATCATGATAAAATTATTTGCAGTAAGCTTTGTTGCTTCATTTTATACAATAATTATGGCAAAACCTGATAAGCCAAGTTAGAATCTTGTTCCATGTGAATATATAACTATGCACAAAGCATGGGAGGAGAAAATATTCATCACAATTATACCAAAGTAAGGCTTCACATATCTCGCTTTGCATGTAATGCATCTATCTCATATATTGGTTTCACCTTTTGAGTTGCCGTACTGACATAAATGAACATTTGCACAATATTCTAATTTTTCGAGTTTCACCTGTATATCTATCTAAAAATAAAGTATATGCAATATAATTTACCCATAAGCACATCTGAATTTAAAATCTATGGATTTGATATCTAAATTATGTATCTATAGAATATAGATCACTGGACTTACTTGTTTTCATTGCTGGCATCATACCGAGGCATGGGGTCAATATCATTACCATTGACATCAAAACTGGCATCTGGGTCCTGCAACCAACAGTGAATTGAGATGGAAAGAGAAGGGACAGCAGAACCTCATTAATTAGCTATTGATTCATCTAAATTCATATATTCATATATTCCTCAGCAGGTTTCTACAGGCATGTAATTAGTTTAACTAAAATTCCTGTGGTTTTGTGTTGGCTGCTTGTCCAAAACTAACAATTCAGTTGTGTTTAGTATATAGAATTGTTCTCAAAGCAGAGGTCTCAAAATCAAACCATCATGACAACCACACGAGGACTAATTCACACTCTGAGGACTGCAACACTGAAGACATGCCATCCATTAATATAGAAGCTATTTATTTTTAATAATTACATTTTAATCTATATTGTGTGGGTCTCTTGGTGGTGGGGTATTGTACTCCCAGCAATCTCAACTAATCCGGCCAAGTATGATGGATGCTGACATCATTAGAAGCATTAGAATCATTCTAGAAGCATTCTAGAAGTATTTTAGAAGCATTAGACATCATTCTAGCATCATTAGAAAGGCTGTAGGTTGACCACTATAGACAATCTCTCTTTCAGAAGGAAGCTTTAGTTTCTAATGAAAACATATTTATTCCTCTCCCCTTCCCACTGACCCTGGTCAAGCTTCCAAGCCTTTTGCTTCTAGAGGCAAAAGTGGAACAAGCTCAGAATTTTGCACACACTCCACCACCACATTTGACAGGTACCTTACCCAAGGTCGTTGCAGTTTGCTTTTGCCTCCTTAGTGCCAATAGTAGCCCCAAAGAGGCTTTTTCCAGTTTTTGCCTTACAGGATCAATCTCTCCTACAGAAAGCTGCTAAGCTACATTGGGGTCCCTTTCACCAAGACAACTCTCTAGTTCCTATTCACCTCTTCCATCAACACTGTGTGAGTTGGGCAGCCATATAAATTTGTTAAATAAATACATTGTGTTGATTGTGTTTTTGGCCACTGTGGGGGGTGGGTGTTGATAGGTTTTTGTATTGGGGATTTTACTTTGTAAGCTGCCTGTGTGTGAGTTGGGTGGCCATATAAATTTGTTAAATAAATAAATAACCCCACATTGGGGGAAGGGTGCTTGGGATGGTATCTCACATTTACTTCTGATTATTCTTTTTTCCTTTCTTTTTGGAATGTAGGGACTCTTTCACATGATAGCTTTGTTCCCTCAAAGCCCAAGTGTTAAACTTATAAAGGAAGGTATACAAAGAGTGGCACAATTTGCTCCTCTTCCCAGCTCTGGTTTTCTTTTTGCCAAAGAGGAGGTTTGCCAAAGAAGAACCCAAAGAAAGGCACACATCTGGGGAACCCATAGCTACCAATCTAGTGATGAGGTGATGCCTTAGTCCTGGCAGCCTCACTGTGGCTTCATCTCCCTCCTCCTCTTCCTCCCACCCACCCAACCTCTTTGCAGTGAGCAAATGGGGAAGCTGAAGCCATTGCTTCTGCTTTCCCCAGCAGCCAGACAGCTGCAATTCCTGTAAGAAACAGGATGCAGCAGTGATGGCAACCTCAACTTTCTCTCTGCTGGCCAGTCTTTCTCTAGCCCAGTAACCTGGTGCACATCCAAAGCCTTAGATGCTAATCCTGGGCAGTCCAGCTTGTCTATCTTCCACAGTTATCCCTAGTGACTTCTCCTAGGTGGGCTGAGGGAAGTGGATTGAGGGAGATTCTTCGTATTTGTGATCCCTGCCTATCTGCCCATCCCCTCTATAGAAAGCCTTCATGCATGTTTGGAAGGAAAAGTTGTGAATGAGGTGCTGGGGACAAGTGAGTGCATGCCAGCTGTTGGCGGTAACATGGCATGGATGGATCAAGCATATGCAGGCTGCAGAGAATGAAGGGGGGGGGAAGGGTTGTATACGGCCCATGTGTTGCAACTCCTGTATTTCAGCAATTACTTCTGATTTATGAAAAAAATAATTGTTTTAATTAAAATAAGTTTTATGTGATTCTAATTACTCCACTTCAAGCTTCTTCATTTAAATCCTTTTCATCACATATTTTATTTCCAACCTGAATTACCTTTATTCTTGCTAAAAGACATAGCTATTTAAGTGACTCTAAGAGAACATTACTTGCCTTAAGGAAATATTTCCATGTGTTGATAACGTATTTGTAAACATAACTTCAATTGTAAGCCCACTTTGAAAATGATATCTTTATTAGCAACAGCTATTAAATTATACATTTTCATATTGTTAGGGAGTGTAGTGTATGTAACATATGATTTTATTTTCTCCACTTTACCCTGTAGAAAACAGCTGTTTTTTTACTCCAGTACTGATAGAGTAGAATGAGATGGCAGCTTGTATGCCTGTGCAGTTCAGGCCTGATTTGACTCATGCTAAAGATTTGAGATTCAAGGAGGGCATGATTTAATTTGAGTTTGTGATTCAGTAGTTGAGGGCAAACCAATTCAAAATAGTTTGAAATTCAATTTTTAAAAATGTCATCAGTTATAATGAGAAAGCATCAAAATGGCTGTAAGTGAAATCTTGCAACTGGCCAGATTAAAACTGCTGAGAGATGAGAAAGTGAATAAAGCACAAAGCACTGCCATTTCTGAAGAGTTCTAATAGCACACAGTACAATAAGGTGATGCAACTCAGTGATTAGGAAAGAGAAGAAGAGGACGACCAGCAGCAAGGTAGGTGGAGTCAGTCACAGTGGCAATGAGCGCACCATTGGGAGACCTGAAAAAACAGGTTAGGGATAGATTGTCACGGAGAAGGTCTATCTATGTGGGTTCAACTAGGAGTTGAAAACAACTTGATGGCACATAATGAATCAATCAACTCAGTGATTGGCTGCTCATGTCAAATGTCAGGAAGGCTATCACAGCATGTCCAGGTATGGAAAACAAGTTGCAATGTTGTATATTGCCTGTAACAATTCAGAATGAGGAGAAATGCCATTGAATATGTAGCAAGTTTCAAAAGGCTATAAAGCATTTCATAGTCACTTGGTTTGATTTGCTGCTTCAAAGGACAACCCTGTTTCAATTCAAAATTTGCTTTGATGGGTTGGTTTGAGTGATGCTTGATCAAACTGAAGAATTCCTTTGAAGCTCTGTTCATACCTATTTGTTGCTTTAAATTTCATCTATATTTAAGACAATATAATTTTTTTCAGTTCAAATGATTCTAGGTACCTTATATATAGAGCATAGGAATCCAATAAAAGCTACAATGATGTCACATGCATCATGATGTCATTGCAAGAATGATGAAAATTATGTCATGATGCAGATGATTCACTCTCCCTTCCCAAGGATGCCCTTGATGTAGGGTGAAATTGAAAACATTATTTCTGCTGATAGATCCTATCATGTCTGTGGAAGCATTATTCTTTCCCTTTGCTGCACTTTCCATGCTCCCATATTCTACTCTGTGTGGACTGTCTGAAACAGAGTTTAAGGGTATGCAGTGGGTGTAGCATGAGAAATAATATTTTCCCTGTTCCAGTGTTAGAATATTCAGTTTAAAATAGTAAGTGCAGAACACTTTCAGTGTAAAATACTGTCTAATTTATCTTTAAATATCCCCCCTCCATCTCTATTAAGAGAAATAGCAGAAATGAGGGGAAAAAATATAACAGCTTTCAAATTAATCAGGAAAGAGCCTGAGTTGCACTGAACCAATTCAGCAAATGTCCTATCCCAAATTAAAAATAATTTTCATGAACTGATTACAAAAATAAGTTTTTCTTTTTCAGCTTGCTTTTTGTAGGATGACATTAAAGAATGCTCACTGACTTGGCCTGGTGAGATGATGCAGCTTGTTATGTATGATCATTGGATTTTGTTGATATCTGGAGGGTTGGCATAGTTAATTGGCAAACTTGGGCTGCCCTGGAAAGGACCCCTCATCAATGGCAGGTTGTAGCTTGCAGGCACAGTTAGTTATTAAGCAGAGGCAACAGAAGTAGCTGGCACGGTGAGATACATTGCCAGGGAGATTGGAAAACCACAGAGAAAGTAACATTCGTAGCCTTGCCTTAAAAAGAGGAAAGCCTGTAACTGTCAGCTTGGTATCCATTTATTCATTGTTGACAACCTTCTACTTGTTCAAATCATTCAGACTTTTAAAGAGAGTATATTCCAAGTGCTGAGCTGAATTTAAGACCAGTTATGTTGCTAGCATTTGTGTTGCTAGCATTTGTATAATTCCATTAGGAAAAGCAAGAATCAAGTTAAGTTTTGTGGCAGGCCACATTCAAGAAACTGGGAGATTGGGAGAGGGAATGAGGCCTAAAGCAATGCTTGCTTTGCCAGACAATATTGTTCTGATAGGCAGAGTTAAATGAGGAGATAAAACGCATTGCTCAGTTACTCAGGTCAGTGTGGAAGAGTCCAACATATTACTCAAATTCCATTCGTATTCTCCATACATAGAAATGAAATTACAACATTGTATATTGACTATAACTACCATGATTGTTATCCAGTTGGTTTGGGCAAACTTGCTATAAACTTTTCTTGGCTTTTCCTGGAAATATCATCTTGGATCAGGGAACTGAGTCTACATTCCAGTTCCATGTAGCCCAAGCATTGTGCTTCCTGCACCTCTTCTACTTTTGCACAGTGTGCTTCATAACAAGAGACCAATGTGCAGTTCAACCTACATTATATTTTTATTAAGTTTCAAGAAGCTTTAATTCCCCCATAGTTGAATAAGTGGGGAGGTGTGGGGGAATAGAATAAACACTGCAACTGGTTTTCTGTGCTTGGGGGTTGGGAAAAAGAAAGAGTGGAGCAGAGAATTTTAATGTTGTGGAACAGAAGTAACTATTCAAGCAATTGTGCTACCTTATTTAGACAACACCTCTGCTAACAGCCCCAGAACTGGAGCAATGGAAAAATCACTGATTATGCTTCAAAGCCACTCAGTTCAGCTTTCTGGTTTAAAGCAGCTTTTCTGGTTTTTGACTTCTGGTTGTTTACTGAATTCTGTGTGTATCCTGACTAGTAAACTCTGGCAGAGAAAGTCAACCATTCTTGGACTGAACAAATATCAAGAAGGAACTTTCTTACATGTTTAAAACAATTTTTTTCAATGGTCTTCAATATTTTAGAATAGAGGTGGGAGTTTTTTTCGGCTAAGGACTGAATGTCTTCAGGGACTGGATACAGTAGGAATGAGTTACTTTAGAAGGTGTGTGGCATAAGTGTGCCTTAAGGCTTGTAATTTATCTACTTTTTATTACAAACTTTTATGGCATATTAAATCTATAATACATCCCTCCTTCCCATTCTTCCTTTCTATTTATCTACATACCTACCTACATGTGTAGTACTTGTAAAAAGAGATAATTTCACAGAACTAAACAATCACTTCACATTTTCTCTAGGCAATTTTAGGAATCTGATATTCCTAAAATCACTTCTAAAGCATTCATTGTGGTAAACCAGTGATGTGGTTAGCTTGCCTTTGGCTTAATGTGTTATATGAACCCAACCATTATAGTTTGTAAACCATGATTTATGGCTAAATGTAATGTCTGAACACTAAAACAATATGTCTAAAAACAATATGGTTAATGTGAGCTTAAGAGGAACATGTATCCTCATTATAAAGATTACAGTTAAGAATGTGGTAGACGGCAGGAGGTAAGACACCAGAATTGTATCTGAAATGCTAGTGATATGTATATATATATATGTATGTATGTATGTATAAAAAACTGGTCTAAACAAAGTGCTGAAGTTGAAACAAAATATTCATTGGTGGCACATTAACTTATCATATGATTTTGCTCTTCAAAATGATAATTGATAAAGAAGCTCATGATGGAATATAGCTTTCTAGTAAATACTCCTTGGAGTTGTATTCTAAGATTTTATTCAGTAGATAGGTAAGAGTTCTGGAAAAAAGTGTTGAGGATAAATTAAATAATAGTCAATGGTTTATAAGACAGGATATAACTGTATGAAGTATAGTATGTGCTAGTAAGGGAGAGTTTGATGTTAATATTTAAGGACTCAGTCTATATGGGATGTAAACAACTAATGGTTTCACTCTACTGCTCATCCCCTTTTTTGAACTGTTATAGCTCAATTGTTCAGAATTTCATAGTAACTGCCCCTGAATACTGTATTCATTACTTCTTGGCCTAAAGATTCAGTTTGATTGGATTCTTGGATTTCAACCTCTGGCTTTGAACTCAGCTTCTCAACTTGTTTCCCTTAAGATCTTATGTTTTACAACTATACAATCAGTGTTTTGTGTTTTATTACTGCCTTTGGACCACAGACAGGACAGCAGTGTATTATCAAACAGCAACAAATTCTGCAGTCAGAAGCACCATGGACACTCACATAATTCTGCATCAAGTCTGGGTGGTTTCTTTCAATGCCATCGTCCAAAATGGTGATCACAATGTTCTTTCCAGTGTAACCTCTCCTCCAGGCACCAACAATATTCATATCTGACTGACAAAGATGTGTGTTATCACTGCAATGCTAGAGAAAGGGGAGGGAACAAAACAAGGATTGCATGTAGGTGATTAGTCAAAAATGCAAAATAAAGAAATATTAACCTATTCATTGGCATAACCAATTAAATTGTCAATAGATGAGTATACTGACTTATTAAACTGGATACAGAAAACCAATGTCCTAATTAACAAGCAGCAAGGTAATTTTAAAGAATGGTAAATGAAATGAAATGATTCAAACTCATTACTTCTTCTGAGAATCCTTATCACATGAAAGAATAGTTACTAGACAATATTTTGTTATTATAGATCCCCAGACATCATCCCAATGGTTATAAAAGGTCTTTTCTGGGTATTCCTTACACTTTTGGGAATGCGTTTGAATTTTTTCAGCACTCAACATGGCAAAACTAGACCAAATGCCTGTACAAAATAGCCATGGAAACACACACACACACACACACACACACACACACACATGCTTATGTGTGGGATAAATGGGGGAGTAAGGAGAGGGTTATGTACTGTATAATCTACGAAATGGCTGCCTAGAATCTTATTTAAATTCTTTTATATCTGCAAAAAAGGAATGAAAAAAAGTTTTTGGCATGTTTAGTACAGTATCAGCAGGAGATGAATCTGTAACCAAAACAATTTCTGTGCAAAACCTGCAGTTTAAATAGCTTATTGAACTGAAGCTGACTATAATAGCAAAAGTTCTGAAGACTATGTTAAAGGAAAATTGAACCATTTGTCTTTTATTTTGTATGGTGTTCAGTTATAAAGAAACAAACAGACAACTCTGCACTCATTATCCCCACTCTATCTCTTAAGCCCACAGAGAAAGTGACCCCTTTTAATGAGTATCCCATTGAGGCCCTCAGTGGTGGTGCTTTGCTTCAGCTTCCTTGGACTCAAGGAGAATAAGCAGAAAAAGGAGAAAATAAATTCTTAGAACTAGTATCATAGCAACACATACTAGCTTCAAGAGTTCTCAGAGTCCCTTCGTTCTTGTTTTCCTATCCCCTTTCATGCTTCTACTCACAGCTCTATACAGTATAATATGCTAGTATTTTGGAATGTGTAAAGGTGGCAGATAAGCAATTGGCCTCTATTATTTCTTTCCTCTGTACAATTTCATACAATCAATAAGCTTATTTAACATTTTTCCAAAGTGATTATTGAAAACTTCTCTCAATACAGTATGTGTAGTTGTACTGTATTAATGATTTTTTGCCAAATTAAAAATGAGCTAATTAAATGAATTGTTTCTCTGCCTTCTCTTTCCATGAAGTCTCCAAGTTCCTAAAAAATGCTACACAGAAGCTAAGGAGGCCTTATTAAATTGTTTTCAATTCTGGTTTAAAAGAACAGGAAGTTATCATACATTTTGTGAGACCAACAATCAAGTCTGTAGTTGTTCAGGCTCTTAAAGCCAGATTATGTGAGACCATTGATAAGTCTATGGTCACTGAAGGTATTAAACCACAAAGTACTGAAGACCTCTCTCTCTCTCTCTCTCTTCCTTCCTTTCTTAGACAACAGAAAAGAGATAGGTGCAAAACTGATTTCTTGATCCTCAGTATAGCCATCCTCAACTTGATGCCTGTTCATATAAGTTGATTATAATTATAAGAAGTGTAGTCCAATATAAGGAAATCTTTCCTAGCAGCTGTACCCTGGAGGGGTATTAAAATAAAAGGATATATATCATAAGGTTAAAGCAATACTTCTTCCCATGTTCTCTTGCACCCTCAAATTTCATAGAAACTGATTCCTGAACTGATTCTACTCCTGAAGAAAGAAAGCCATGACCATGAATAGGTCCCCTATCCCTTATCTTAAAGGGAAATAGGCAGAAACCTCCTTTGGTTTTTCACCCCTAAATCCATGTGCCCTGACTTCCAAGTTTTATTTACACTGAAAAAAAAAACTGCCTATAGGAGCTCACTAAGGGAAATGACTCACAAGTTCTGCTCTTCGCCTCAGACCGGCCCTGTGCTTTGAGTTGTAGAAAAGGGTGTGAGATTATAAGCCCTGTTTCCTTGAAAGGATTTGGAAACCTGCCAGAAGACAGTTTCTTTTTCCTTTTGTGATGTCAGCAGGCTGTCCTTGCCTGAACTGTTGCTTCTTCAGCAAGATCTTTACTGCCACTAGCTAGCTTTCCTTATGCGTGCTTACAAAAAAGGCAAAATACACTCAGGCTGCAGGCAATTATCCATAAATCTATTCAATATTTTTAAAGTAGAACTTGACACCAGTAGGAAGCAGACTAAAACAAAGCTGAAAGGATAGTCAATAACAGTACCTTCAGAAAATATGAGCAGGTAAACTGTCCAAGTCATTGACTAGATTCACACATCCCACTAAGCAAGGGCACACCCATATATGGAGTTTGCCTAAATGGCTTGTTCTACCAACTAACTTCACTATTTTTATACTTCTGATTATTATTTATTATTATTTAATTCAATTTAGGGGTTGCCTGACTCCAAACTGACTCTGAACAGCTCAAAATATAACAAACAATAAAAACACAATATAGAACAAAAGGAGAAACACATCTAACTAGGGATTCTATCCATCTTATCCCAATGGAGAACCACCAGATCTTCAAGGCTTCAAGGCTTTATGGAATATCAACAGACAGGGATCTTATTCTATAGGTTAATGCCATGACAGAGAAGGCATGTTCCTGGGTCCTGATAGGTGGCACTGTTTAATCAAAGGGACTTGGATGTGCCAACTCTGCTGGCAGAAACCATGTGTGATAGGTGATCCCTCAAATAACCTGACTCTATGCCATGTAGGGCTTCATAGTCGATGACCAGCACCTATGGAAACATGTTTTTTATTGTATTTTTATTGTATTTTAATTAATATTTATTTTTGGTTTTTACTGTAAACCGCCCAAAGTCACTTCCTAGTGAGATGGACAGTGACCGAATTTGAATAAGAATAAGAATATGAATATGAATATGAATATATATATATATATATATATTAGGCAATGAGTGCCTCTTGCAAAGCAGAGGTATCAGTTGGGCATACCAAAGCATGCCTATCATTGTCTGAGACATTGCATTCTAGACCAGCTGAAGCTTCCGAGTGGTTTTCAAGGACAGCCCCATGTGCAGCACATTGCAGTATTCAAGCTGTGAGGTGACTAGGGCAGGAGTGACTGTCTGAAAGGCCTTCTGATCGAGGAAGGAATACAACTGGCATACCTGATAGAGCTGTGCAATTTCACCCTTTGGCCAGAATTGCCACCTGCTCTTTCAGATTGGTCAAATTGCACACCACTCTTGAATGAGAAAGTGCTACCTCATGCAGGAGTATAGATAGAAAATTCCCAGGTCCAGGAGTCCCTAATAGCCACACCCACTTGGTCATGATAGGATTGAGTCAGGGTTGGTTGCTCCCCATCCAGGCCTGCACAGCCTCCAGGGGCTGAGACCGGACCTCAATAATCTCACTTGGCTGGCCTAGGGTTGAAAGTTATAATTGGATATCATCTGCGTATTGATGATACTGAACTGGTGGAAAACTTCACCTAGTGGTTTTATGTAGATATTAGAAGGGAAGAGAGTGTCAAATCCTGTGGCACCCCACATAAGAAATGCCTAGGGGATGACCTCTCCCCCTCTGCCAGTACCAACTGGAACAGACCATGAAAGGAAAGAAGAGAACCACCATAAAATAGTGTTCTCAATTCCCAACCCCTGCAGGCAGTCCAGAAAGTTACTGTGGTATCAAGAAGCACAAGGATGGATGCATCATCTCCATGCTGGCTCCACCACAAGTCATCAACAAGTGCAATCAAAGCTGTCTCAGTACTGAAACTTGGATTGAAATCCAACCCATATAACTTGCTATTCATGACATTTCAACTGACAATAACCAATCTATATCAAAGCTTGTCTGCACCCTACCTAGAGCAAGATGGCCCATTAACAGCCTATGTATGCTTCTCAGCTCCTTTTTGTGTCCCCTCAGATTGCACTACTGAAATTTGGTGTAAAAGCACTAGAATTTGACTTTTCTTTTTTTTTAGGAACTGTGTAATTTATGTATGTATGCATTTATTTAAAAGGTATGGTCATAAACTAAATACACAAAAATTAAAAGAATATATAACACAGTTGTTCATTTAAAAAACTGTTCATACTTGAACTAAACACACCTGGGAAAGTGATCAAGTCCAGAAACTTTTAATTCTCATTGCTATAGTACAAATTTAGCTACAATTCTAGAGACTTCCAAATCCTGGGTTTTGTAGGCAGGGCACAATTGCCATATGAGGGTGATCTAGATGTTTTGTAATAAGAGGGGAAATTAACTCTACCCTCTAAATTGGTAGATAGGTCAGTTCAGAAATATGTGTACTACTGTTTCAATTTCAGTCTGAGCAAGAACAGACATTCTTGATAAAGAATACTACTGAAACTACCCACAGTACCATTAAGGGGAGAGCATCCAGATGTGCCAATGTAGAGGCCTCCAATGAGATGGGACCAATAAATCGACAACTGTTTGGGAATAGTGAAGGAGGGGTGTATGAGCTCATTACAGTGGAGATATGAAGTGTTGGTTCTGTCTCCTGTAAATCAAGATCTAAAATTTTCTGCTTGAGCTCTATCCAGGCTTCATCAAGTCTAGTATAGATACAGACAGAGGGATGAGTCCACAATGGGCCATATCATCCATTATTTGTTTCTTCCAAGAAGACTGGTATACTTCTATCAAAACTAGTTGGGCTAGAGATCCCCCCTCTCCTGCATTTGTTTAAGCCAATACTTCAATCAGCAGAGTCATAATCAACTGAAATGCAGCCAAACTCTAGCTGGCAAAGTGCATTAGTAACAGAATAGGGAACTTGAAGCAGAGAGCTCAAAAATTTAAATTGAACAGCTTCCAATGCATGAATATTCTTGTAAGTGCAACCCTGGACACCATATAGAAAAAGACTTAGCACTTTAGCTTTAAAAAGTTTAATTGCTGCAGGCACACAATTGTTGCCCATAC